AAGCAAGCCAGTCAAGGAAAAATATCGCGTCCTATCGATTGGCGAGAGGCGGGGTGAGTACGGTAATTGCAGTGACATTTACCGCATACCGCAAGGGAGAATGCCGCGATAGGGGAGAAGTTCCGTTACCCCTAGAAGCACGTATCCGTTCAAAATACGTGTTGAGTTGAAACAGCAATAGAGCTCAAGTGGTGGAAGTTACAGCTCGTGGAATTGATTCATGATACGTACCTAGATAGCTACAGCATTTATTACAGGAACGATAGTGGGCGATAAAGGGTAGGACAATTAGTGGAAAAACGGATGTGAGTGCAAGTAAGTGTTAAGGTATAGGGAACCGCAGTTTGTGAATATCTCCTTATTTATGTAGTTGTTTGTAGGTTGGTGTGTCGGTTTGTACGTTTGTGTGTTTGACAGTTTGCAGTAACTTGGTGGGTGGATTGATGAGGTGGCGTGAGTTTTGTGGAGTTAAGCGAGTAATGTTGTGTGAAGTGGATACTTCAAAACTAAGGTTTCGATCTGACTGGCATTGTGTAAGTATTATGTCTATTATATACAGAAATCGGAGATGATAATGTAATTGGGAGACTTCCTTCTCTATCAACCTCGAGCGCTAGAACGCATATAAGGAGCTTAGCCCATAGTTGCGCACAGGAACCTTCCTTAGCCGAGAGTATGCAGTAGTTTTTCGACCTGAGCATCAGGCGCGAAGTCGGGCCGGGGTTGGCGACTCGACTGAATGTTCAATTCATTCCCTATTCTAGCTTTTTGCACGATATAATCATCTCACTTCCACCTCGACGCTCCTCCCCTTCTGAAGCCTGGGTTAAAACTGTATCCTTTCACCTAAAACCGTCTCTAAGCACAGGTATGGTCGACTACTACTACTTCTCTGCCCTCTAGCCCTCAGTGTTGAATGAAAGTAATGCCTCTCCCGACTACATATTCTAGCAAAAAGTAAGGAATGAGGTCCCGCGTAAGGAGCTCTTCATTCAAAAGTGAAGTCAGAATGACAGGCAGCTCTGCCTGTGTGGAGGGTAACTTGTGAACTCAATGGGTCCTTGTTATGCATAGCCGAACATTTCTAGTAACCACATAACGTCCGGCGTATGAATGCTTGATATTCTACAATAGTCGAATTGTAGAAATGGAGTTGCAGAGCCTCTTTCAGCACGACTATGCCCTTGCGTATATGAACGTGCTGAACAATCTATGCTCCAAGCTCAACGACTCGAAGGAAATCATAAAAGCAATGGAAGCTATCTGTTCCGAAACTCGTTCTCAATTCTTCTAGCGGGTTTTATTTTCATTGACAACTCTGTTTTTTTTTACTCAATAAAGATATATGAGATAAGAAGCTTTTCCCTGATGATCAGCGTTGTGAAACGATAAATCCAACTCTGGACACATGAAGTACTGACAATTTTGCTAATCTCCTGCATTACGCATCGAATGTTTTCTGCTTTTTCACTTCATCTGTTTATGATGTACATCAAGATAAGAAAAAGCTTCTCTTCTATAAACTCAGTCAAGTCAACTAGAAAGGAAAAGTGTTTTCCCCGCGCATATCAGTAGTGGGGAGCTTTAAAGAGGATTCAGGGAGAGGTTTGCTCGTTTTTTTTTGAAGAAATATCACAGATTGTACATTCGTTCACCAATGAATTCCACTATCAAATTCAATACCAGCAACTGCCTCGATACATTATAATATGTAAATATGTTTGCCGCCCGCGTGCGTGATAAGTTTTGATTTCGTCTAGTAGTGGTTCAGCAAGGAAGACTACGCCTCTTTTCCGAAGGCACGTTCTTATTCCTCCCACTACGTTACAACCCCTTTGTTGATGCTTGAAAGCACAGTTTATGATGAAAATGGCCTAGATAGATAACCCACTAAAGTGAATCTGCCTCCCCTCCCCCCGCCCCCTTATCCAGACCGTTCTCCGATCAAATGTAGGATCGGAGAACGGTCTAGATAGGGCGTTATAAAAGCTTCAATATTGTCCTGTGTGTATGCGCGGATGAGTTTCAATTGTATTGTTGAGGCTGCGCCATTCACACGGGAACCATGTTGGAAGCAATAATGGGCAGTTCTGGTTTGATGAAGCCAGCTTTTTGCGCAGTTACAACAAATGAAATATTGTGGTTCACATGTCGTTTCACATTTTTCAGGATATCGACGAGTTTACTCCATTCTTTCACCAGCGATGCACTACTTCCAACCAGGAACTCCTCTTTTCGACTTGAGAAGGGACCTGGAAATTATCGTGAACAGTGCTTTCAGCATTTTGTCCTCAGTCAGTTGAGGTGATAGAACAGTAAGTTTTGTTTTTTTGTGTGATAGTCACTAGATGGGTCAATAAACAAAACGTCCAGATATTGGAGAAAATCTCTTCAAAAATTGGAAAATGTTGAAAGAATTGGCTCATTTATTGTGCATTCATTTGATACCACATTCTCAATGGATTCTTTCAGGAGTGTTGAGTGCAGAGACTATGGATGCAGTCATCTACAGCCTCCACGTTAGTAGTGAACGAGACTGACTAGTCATTTTCACATTGCACTGAGTGTAGTGGGGCACTCTAAGTAAATCTTCGGCACTCAGAGACCAGCCATTACGAGCTCTAAAGAGAGAACACCATTCCCGTGCAATTCATTTTCTGATGAGAACCAAATGCATGGCGCAGTCTGAAACCGAGCGTCTTTATTACTTTAGGATAACGGCTTTTAGAGCTCAGTGAGTTGAGTTCAACTGTATTTTCGTCTCCTCAAATGCTTTACTCTGAACCGACTTATGAAGTAAAGACGAAAAAGATGCGGATCTTAGGACGAGTACTGTACGACGGATTCCATCACAATTGCTATCGAAGATTGGGGAGCGATCAGTAAAACAGCAGACAGTGCTTAACAGCCAGCCTCCCTCGATGTAGAAAATGAGTTTGACGGCCTACAGCGACCAGTCCTCCGGAAAGCGCTCCAAAAACAAAAGATTTGGAAACAGCGGGTCTGCTCTCCATAGACTTTAGTTATAAATATAAGCCAGTTATTCTGCCCTGATGGCTTCGGACGACGGTTGTTTTTGAAATATATGCGCCGTTGAAGAATTACATGCTCAAGATAAAGCGCTATCAAAATACTGTCCCTAGCTAAGTTCTGATGGAATGATTTGAATGTCTCAATTTCTATCGAAAATATAAAAAAGACGATAAGAGGACAAAATAAGTGTTCTCGACTTCAGTTCCGGCATGCACTTTCTATCTTGATAAATTTATCTTTGGGAGTTTCACAAACACTACCCGGAGAAGTGGTCGTTACTGTCATTCTGGCACTTCATATATAAACCACAGACTTACCCCACTGCTGCGTCATATCCTACTTTTGCTTTTGCTCCGATCTCCTTTTACTTATATAAAAATTTATGGGTGTCCACACCCGTGGTGGTTAATGTTTGCGTAATTGCTACGGCCCACAAAATCGGTGTAATGATTTCCAATCTTGTCTTGCTGGGCATTTGTTCTATATTTATTCATTGGATCTGGACCGGGCAATTTCCAGTGGTGGAAAGTTTACCAGACTCGATACAGTGCAACCCACACGTGCTTTATAGGATTTAGGTCGGGGGATTGGGCAGGCCACTTCATTCGCCGAACATCCTTTCATGCCAAGAGCACGTCCACCCATGGTGTTCGATGCGGTAGCGCATCGCCATTCGGAAAAATGAACAGAGCTCACTGCAATCGTGGAAAGACGAACAGTAGAAAGGTGCACGTTGTCACAGTAACGCTGACTGTTGAAGGTGCTACGTCAAAAATCTGGAGGTCAGTAAGGTCATGCAACATGATGTCTTCCCATACAATGAGACCTCGGCTGCTAGAATGATCACTCTCGACAATGTTTCTGGGAGAGTCGCATGTTTCCACTATGAGGGTGCATCCAGAACCACTGCTCGGATCTCCTCTCATTCGGAAAAAACAAACGGTTCCATTCTCATCGGTCCATTAGGTTTGTTCCTCACACCACTCTGAACTGTCTCGCCGATGCACGAGTGTTGAAGGAACACACCGTAGTGGACCACCACCGTGCAGTAGTTGTGCCACTGTAGTGCGTGAGATGGCTTGCCTTGGAGTCTTGTTAAACGCATAGCAATTAAAAAAGCTGATTGCTGTGGATCTCTTCTTGCCTGCTGCACAGTGTAGGGGTCATCCCTTTATGTAGTTGCTCTTAATCGATCACCTCTCCTCCTTCGGACATCGCTATCAGAGCTTCGGGACACTTTCCGTGCACGCGAAATAGCGCTGTGAGCGATAAAAAGCTTTTAAGCTTTCCTCGTCATAGCTCGACTTTCTTCTAGTTTCCCCTTGGTCCTTCCTGGTGCGAAGCCATCCAAATGATGTCCACAGGACACGATGTACTCAGGGATACCACCACAACATTTTGTAGCTACTCGCTGATTGACAAAAACTTCCTTTCATACATTGACCGCCTAGTTTTGCGCGGGCATCAATATTTGATCGCTTTATTATTTCAACTACCACATATACTACGAAGGACTCCAGCCTCCTGTGTATAACCGTTAAAAGTCTAGCATGATGCTCCCCACTTCCATTTATTTTGACCCAATCCTCAGAGTTTTATGTTACATTATCCATATCGTCCGTAACTTCCGCACACCAGCGTATCTAAGGCCTGCGTCACGCGGGAGCACCCTGAAGGTGAATTCAGGTAGCACCGCAAAGTTACGAAAGGCTTTCATGCCTTCCAGTACGAAGTTGTCGAAACGTCAGGCAAATCTTCCACTATCAAAAATTTCTGCCACCAGAACCCCTTTCACACTCTGGCGCTCTGCTTAAGGAGAACAGGGTCATTGATTTCTGAAAAGACACACTCCAACAGTTTTATGCGCACTGCGCCCGCAGTGAATGTGTGTCTGTTAATTTGTGTATGTGTGTATGTTAATATGTGTATGTTTGACCTAAAATACATAACTCCAATTTACTGTGGATTCAAAGGGTTCAAACTAAGTGGCAGCAGAGCACGAAGCACCTGTGCAGGGTGGCAGGACTAGGCTCAGCTCACAGTGATCGAGGCGTGAGCAAAGGGAATGTTTCACCGTAAATTCATAACTCTTGGACCTAGAGCGTTTAAATTCGGTAGGTCTAAAGGCAGCAGAATGTGAACACAGATTGTAGGTAGTAGGAACTGACTGAACCGGGCTGCAGCGCAGTGGTGGAGAGTAAGGCGGATGGAGCAAGGAAGCACAATATGTGTGAAATGAGTGCGATTTGAGTAAGAGTATGAAACCACGCTGGAATAAGTAGGAACCTGAGCAGAGTCCTGCTCAGGTTCCCACTTGTTCGCATCGTTTACGGTGAAATATTCCCTATGTTCACGCTCCGACCTCGCTGAGCAGAGCCTAGTCCTGGCACCCTGCATAAGTGCTTCCACCTCTGCTCCCACTTGGTTTGAATCCCTTAGTTCCACGGCAATTGGAGTTATAAATTTCAGGTCAAAAACACGCTTACTCATATACACACAAATCAACAGATACACAGCGCATTGTATACAATAGAATATTTTCAGATGAGGACGATGCTAACGATTAGCCTATTGACGTCGCTGACAATTACGGTCCTTTCCTTGTGAGTTCGTATACATGGCAAGTTCACGAGCAACTCCTTAAAGACCTTCTTGATTTCGATAGATGCTTTCAGTGACCGCAATCCAGCGAAAGGGGAGGTGCATGCATTACTGGTGGCTGGCGATAAAGGATGGTACAATTATCGTCATCAGGTTCATGCCTACAGTATTTATTTTGTACATCCTTCACGTTTCGCTGATTTTTGCATGAGAAACGTTTTCAGCTCGTTTTCGCCAGAACACAATCGGATTAGAAAAAGTTAAACATCTGAGATGAATCGCAAGTGCTCTGTATGTTTCAAGAATCGCTCAAAAAGTTGTTGTCTTCTTAGGATACCAAAATTCCGTTAACCATTTGGAATTTAGTTGCAAAACATAGTTGCCCCTCAGCTCCGAATATGGGAATAATAAGTTGGAAATAACTGTGCTGCTAGCAGGAATCCAGAGAATTTGGTCCATGGTCTATGTTACTCTTTAATGGCTCGGGAATGACAAAGTGAGCGATCATAAGTGCGACACCGGAATTGCAGTTTTTTTCCAAGTTTTCTCTGAGCCTTATCCTACATAGTATGGTGGACTAGTTAATACTAGTTCTATTTGATCGTTCTATATTCTATGAGCAGTTCGTTTCGTTCTGTGTTGAATTGTAAAAACTTCAGGCCGATGTTGCCCACGCATACCACGTCCTGCTAGATCACGGAGTTCCGGCAAAGAACATCATCGTAATGATGTACGACGATATTGCCACACATGATGAGTAAGTATCACTACGAGAAGTTTTATAAGCAAAAAATGGAGGGGACGAGGGCAGGGGAGTTACCGTCTTGAATACTCACTGAACAAATTTTCCCTGTAACAGAGTGTGCTTTGCGATGTGCAATTTTTTGAGAGCTTTACAATTATTTGAGCAAAATCCGATTTATTCTTACCACTGAACAATGAGAGTCATTATGTAGGCAACTAAAGCATTCACGGTCTAGCACTTGAAGTCTTTGAATGAAGTTTGACTGACCAGAGAAATCAGATTACTTCTTTCGAGCCGCTCATTCTTCTCTCTCCAGAAATCCATATAAAGGAAAAATCTTCAACAGTCCCAACGGTCCCGACGTTTACGCTGGATTGAAAATCGACTACAACGTAAGTATAATATTAAAGATGAACATGTGGCTGTACTTTCGCGAATAAACATCGAAATTTTTTAACAGGGTGATTCCGTCACTCCAGAAAACTTTCTAGCCGTTCTCAGAGGAGACAGAGATGCTGTGAAGGGCGGAAATGGTCGTGTGATTGAAAGGTCAGCACAGCTCAGCTTTGAAATTGTGGATCATCAAAAGAACTATCAGTCTTTTTGTAGCAACGAGAATGATCGACTTTTCGTGTTTTATGCCGATCATGGGGCTACAGGTCTCGTCGCTTTCCCGACTGATATAGTAAGTGTTGGCGTACTCTTAGGTATATTATTGTAGCTCAATAATAACTGCCATGCATAACTCAATACACATACCGAGCGGAGGTAGTCTATTAATTTATAGCTCCCATTCCCTTAGACCAAGAGCGTTCGGCTTTGGTATAGATCGGGTCTAATAGAAATTTATAGGACTAAACGCTGTTCACGGTAGACCGCTATGCGCAAAGAATTGTTCGCTTACACCCATGGCGTCCAAATCTGGGAGGGATGCATGCAGCAGCATACGGACACCGACGTATGGTGGTACGAATAAATCGAATACATCCACCCTCAAACGGAGGGTGCTAAACATAAGACGCTCAAATTCGAAAAAAGGGCAGGCGATGGGGTTACAGTGATGGTAGGCGGCAGAACTAAGGAGTCAGCATGCTTTTAATGAGCATAATCTGAGTAAACGTGCCCTGCTAAGTTGGAATAAGTGAGACGTGAATCAAGATATTTGAGCACACATGGGTTGAGCAGGACTACGCTCTTCACGAGTCGGACTCACGAGGTTACCGATGTCTATGTGTTTGACTGGAGATTCATGACTATTTTTCACCTGTACTAGAGGATCCAACCTCGGAGCAAGTGTGGACACCAGGCCAAGATTGCACGTAGAGGAGGGTGAACGACGACCCGACTGGTGATCAAACCAAGGAATCTGACATGGCGGTTTTTTTGAGGCTTAACGACAACGATTAATATCAATGAGTTTATAACAATTTCGACGATCTGCCTAGGTCTGTCACATATTTCATATGGATATTGGAGAATCAAGATTCTGAAAAGCTAAAACATTTGAGGAAGCCGCTATGAAGCTCCTCCGATCTCATCAATTAGAAGCCTGAGCAAAGCATCAAAATTATTGAGACTGGTAAGTGCACAGGGTAGGGGACCTATATCGCACTTTTCTTCCCAATCATTGAATTATAAGACTCTTGTATTATTATGACAGGAAGATGCGTCGTCAAGAAAGTCTTGATCATTGAAAACGCGGAACAGCTGGTTTCACAGTGCTATACAAGGTCACACAAGGTCACGTGCAAGAAGGAAATGCTGGCAAGTAGAAGTGACAGTCAGATCTTCCTGCTAGACCACACTGTTCCTGAGTACGAATCGAAGGGAAGGACAGTTATCCAGAGGGATTTGTACCAGACCTTTCCCTATGTAGGTATTGTGGACCCCATTCCCCGAACCCTCGAAAACCAACTGAAATGTAGTTTCGTTAAATAAACCTAGATGAAACACCTTCCAGAAGCTTACAGAAGAACATTCTCACTGAAATTGACGATGAAACTCCAATATTTCAGCTTACGGCAAAGCAACTGCACGACACCTTAAAAGATATGCACGGTAATCACAAGTACGGCCAACTGGTATTTTATCTAGAGGCTTGTGAAGGTGGTTCAATGTTCAGAGGAATCTTAGAAGACGATATTGATGGTACGTTTCAACGAAGAGAGGGCTTTACTAAACAATTACTTCACTGGCTGAAGAAAAAGAAAGCCCAAGACTTATTGTTTAGTATACGCTGTTACTTCGGCTAATTATAATGAATTCGCATATGGTACATATTGCGAGAACGACTTAATACCATGTTTCGGAGATGAGTTTTCTGTGAACTGGATGGAAGATTCTGACAGGGTATAGTTGTGCTTCATTTTTCTGTGAAATCCTACAAAGGTTCACCACATTATTGTCGTCCCACCTAGCACTTAGTGAACCACTTTTTTATTCGGACTTTCTTGGTCTCATTTCTTCCAAATGAATGTAGGGCACATGCCATTACTATCGTGCGTAAAATGAAATATTGCAACTTTGGATTCGCTTTATGGTTCAACTGAGGATTTGGAAGACTAAAAAGCTTCTTAAAAAATGAGGCGTCATAGGCGAAAAAAGCGCTGCCTTTCGAAACGTGTTGGCTTCGCCAGACATCTGTAGCGCGGAGCAACGCCGGATAGAAACTATGCGATCACTTGCTACAAGAAGGGCCCTATTCTCATTTTTGTTGCTCTTTTTCCTTAGCGCTATACTCACTAATAGCACTTTCAAACTGATACTCGCGCAAACATAGAGGTGTAGATTTTGTTCAAAGCAACGGCAAACTAGCGCCATCATCCATAAACAGCTTGTTTTCCCNTGTAAAACACCAGTTCTTTAGCAGGACATCAATTTGGAAACGTTGGGCGAGCAGTTCGAATTGGTGAAAGGACTCACAACTCACTCACATGTGCGTCGTTACGGTAATGTGAGCATAGGCGATGAACCAGTGGGCTGGTTCCAAGGTTTTCGCAAAAACATGCTGAGGACAAGCGAAAGCAGTACCAAGTTGAACAAGGTGTGACATATTTTTATTTAGTAATAATATTTTGAACATGAAGGCCTCAGTGACTGCGACGAGACCGGATAAGCTCATTGACATTTCGTGGGCTATTGTCAACCACCTTTTGTTAAGCAAGAAATGAGGTTGTCAAAACGTGCNGGGCCCTATTCTCATTTTTGTTGCTCTTTTTCCTTAGCGCTATACTCACTAATAGCACTTTCAAACTGATACTCGCGCAAACATAGAGGTGTAGATTTTGTTCAAAGCAACGGCAAACTAGCGCCATCATCCATAAACAGCTTGTTTTCCCATTATTTTAAGGAAGAACAGATGTATTTCGAGAAAATCCAAATTGATGATATGCATGTGTAAAACACCAGTTCTTTAGCAGGACATCAATTTGGAAACGTTGGGCGAGCAGTTCGAATTGGTGAAAGGACTCACAACTCACTCACATGTGCGTCGTTACGGTAATGTGAGCATAGGCGATGAACCAGTGGGCTGGTTCCAAGGTTTTCGCAAAAACATGCTGAGGACAAGCGAAAGCAGTACCAAGTTGAACAAGGTGTGACATATTTTTATTTAGTAATAAGATTTTGAACATGAAGGCCTCAGGACTGAGACGAAACCGGATGGCTTGATAAGCTCATTGATATTTCGTGGGCTCTGGTCAACCACGACTTGTTCGCACGAAACGAGGTTTTTAAAACGTGCCCATGAAGTGTTTTCAGCCTCGTCACCGTAGTATGTCATGGCCATCAAGAGACGTCAAACTCATGCACCTCCAGAAGATGAAACTACTGGGCGTTCAATCAGCCACAGTAAATCACGAAATCAATCGGATTCAGGAGGTAAGGACAGTTATACGATAGGTTGTTGCACTACCTGCGAAATTCAATAAGACAGTTCCTTTGCTTCCGGCTGGTATTTCCGAATCAAAGAAAACATCAAACTAGTAGTGAAAAGAGCATCTATTAGATGATTCAGGAAGCATTTTTCCGAGCTAGGTAGACAGAGAAGGGATTGGGTTCATATAACCGAAATGTGGTCTCGTGTCATTAAACGGACGGATGCACCCATTTGCCCAAACTTCTGCTATTATATAAAGAACGGAATACCCTACATATACGGATTTGGTGGGCACGACAAACCTCAGGGAGACTACCCAAGCCACCTGATAACAGATCTGCTAGGTGAACTTCTCCTGAACTCAGAAAGGAACTGTATTGGAGTCTACCGGGTGTTTAGGGACTCAAATTAAACTGAGGACAATTTTTGAGGAAACGTACAGCATAAAGCCCGTCCAAACTCCAGAAAACGTCATTGCGAATAGTAAATACGTAATTTCGGAAGGAATCATTCTGATGATACCAAGCGTTCACAAAAGTCAAGTGAGAAAACCGCCAGCGTTAGCTCAGTCTCTGAATGAATTCAGAATCGACGCCAAATCGAAGGAGTCTTCACAAATTTGGTCCACCAACTCGTGTTTGATCAGAATACGAGGTTATTTTTTACATTTATCTCTTTCTGCAACACATGGGCTTGAGTCGTACTCTTTTAGACGCCAACTACTTGAAGAGAAAACCAGCGTCAGAAATCTTGACTGTCATGACGACGTCGTACGAGCGTTCGATTCGATTTGCATTGATATTAACAAGGTATATTCCCACATCCAACTAGCATACTATAGTAGAATGTAAACGATTCCTCTAGAACTATTTCCGATCTGCAAATATTATCAATTTTAAGTGCGAAACGGTACGACCTTGTCGCTTTTTTAGTGCAGTGGTTCTTGAATTGGATCTAATTGGGTTATAAAGATGCTGGTAAAAGCTGGCAAAGGGTCTGCGGAAGGATGAAGACGCCCATTCACGAAAATCTAAGACATTTCAGACAGACAGACATGATCACTATAATAAGTACTGATTGGAAATCGATTAAAAGACTCGATGAGCCTGCAAAACGCGGATTAAGTACATTTGAAACGCCCGAGCGCCCCCACACTGCGAAGTATTATTGTTCTCTAGTGAATGGGGCAACAGAAATTCCTAAAATTATTACTTCCTGTTCTGGTGCAGTGTCGAGAAGAGTAAAGCAAGCAGCAGTCAAGGGAGGGATACGGAGCAGCTGCATACGGTGAGCCTGGCAATCGAGGTAGACGTAACGAATCTTGAATTTGGGCAAGGTGCTGCGTACAGCATAGAGCCGGGAAAAATAGCCAAATATGACGAACTTATTGCAAATAATACGAGAGCCCTGCACTCGGCAAATCCAGTTCTGGACTGTTTTCTAACTCGTAATTCTATTTTGAAGCTGACTAAAATTGGGAAAGAAGGCGCTTTCTACCGAAAAATTCATTTCGACTGAACAACAGCGTAGTAACTGATAGAAATCCTACTACAGACAAAATGCCGGAGTTTGTCTTCGTTGGTACGCTCGGCCAAAAACAGTGGCTATAAGGGCAACCTCGACCTTTATATGCCCGGAAAATTCTCAAGAGATGGCGATGCAACGCTTTCTTAACACAGTGCATTGGGTTTTGAAAATAGTTGGTCTTCATCCAAATCAAGAATTCAACCGGGAAAGTGGTTTACTCACCAGAAAATGTGGTAGTAGTCTAGGAACCAGAAGAAGTAAGGGATTACTAAGTAGCACAATTATTTGTGAGTGAGCATGTTACTGAGCAAGTTAGACAGTTAATTATAAAATGCGAAGGGCTTCCCAATATAAGTACGTGACTATGCTTCCGGCTTTGCGGTTGCTACTTGATGCTTTTGGCTATTGAAAATTCTATGACAAGCTTGAACAACATCACTGCCGCAGTGGTAGAGGGGGAAAATTTTGGAACTCACTAGGCTCTTTTCGTGCATATCCGAATGCATACGTAGGAAGTAGCTACCTAGCTTTTTTGATGCAATGAACGTGGTAGTGCACTAGAATCGAATTCGTATTCGAAAGTAGTTACAACGGCTATTTCAGCACGACTATGCGCTCATGTACATGTATGTGCTGAACAACCTCTGTATCAAATTCAACGACTCTGCGAAAATCATCAAAGCAATGCGTACAATCTGCTCAGAAACTCGTGATCACTTCTTCTAAAGGATTTCTTTCCTTATGACTACTCATTTCCGTTATACTTCAATGAACATTTGCAAGGCAAGCTTTTCTCTAGATCAGCGGTATGATGATTGATCGGTAATTTGATCGCCGTGCTGAATTCAAGGGTTATTACCCGCTAGTCCTGCTGAGGATGTGCAACAATTTCACGACCAGGATTTAGCCATTTCGCCATTGCGCCAAGGAGGTAGTCGCAAAGGAATCAGTAGCTTCAAGCTCCGTCAGCAATGGAAGATTATGGACGAATTTGCTCACGCCAAGGAATTGAAGATCGGCTGAGCCAGACACGTGATGCCATTTTGGAATGACCGTTGAATCAGGTCGTCACTGACTGAATTCTTCGGGACCACGCATGATCGCCATTGCTGCCGCCCTAATGGTCAAACCTCTTCACGGTAGCCTCAACCGAGAAATCCTTTGCCTCGTTTCATTTGAGCGAAAACGATCCACTGGACTACCCTGGCTTGTGACGATGCCGGCAGCCTACGTCGGAGAGGCAGAGAACGAGCAGATATGCGTAGAGTACGAGTTTAGGTAGAAGGCGTTATTGATGGTGCTTGATTGACATAAAAATGAAGGTGAGTGATGCGATGTGTGCAAAGAGCATGGAGGTTGCTGTATGAAAGGTCATAGGCGTATTCTGGTCTTTCCAAGAGTTCTTGAATAAAGGAATGTACTACGGTCACAACCAATTAGTTGAGAATATGAAAGGTGTACAACAGAAGGTAGCACTTGGTAACATGGGAATTTACTGTCTGAGCTATTTTTATGCAAGGTAAGGTAGCCACCTGATCGAAACCCACCCCGAGGATCTCATGCATTATAACCTTCTACAAGTACTGATCAGAAACAAAATCAGATGCAGTAAGTTTTATTGCAATTACATAGATCATAATCAACAAACAGACTCGGTGAAGGATGTTTCTGTTTGAAAAGTAAATGTACAGTTCAATCGCTCGACTGATTAAATGAAGGGCACGGTGAATAAGTAGTTGTTATTTGGCCAGTAGATTAGAGTGCTTCTCTCCTACAACATTATGATTTCC